TACTTGGACGCACACCGCCGAATTAATGTGCTTAGTGTGGCCGCATACATTTCGACTTTATACAATCTGTTTCCCAATTTCGAATGATATAAATTCGGATTAATCCCGTAGTGTAGACATACCCTCAGTGTCCTGAGTCAGCTGCCTTGGGAATGGCTCTCTCATACCCCTGTCTGTAAGGGAATGCTGAAGCCTGTCACCTAGCCTCAGCCCTCTCTGGGGGAAGTGAGAGGGGGAAAAGTTTCCATTTTCTTTCCAGGGAACATCTGTGTACCAGTGATTGTCTCCTATCACAGAAACGAAATCCAAGTATGTTAGGAAAAGATTTATTTGGCTTAGGAAAGAAAAATATAAATGAATTTTAACATAAGTTAACAGAATAAAATGAGATACTGCTGGATTCTAGGCAAACCTTCCTGAGATGTGGTAAATCTTGTGGTTACAGTCTATTGACTAAATAGAATTAAAATCTTTGTCAACAATGCTTGTATGCTTTGTCTCCTGCAGCCTGTTGAATCATTTATTTCAAACATCCTTTCCATAGATCAGAATCTCTCTCTCTAATGGCCCCCCTTCAACCTTCCCTCCCAATTCAATGGCTTGTGCAGAGGTTTACACATTACACATAGATCACTTTGTGGTGATTAATCACTGTGCCCAGCAACATGGGACTACAAATAACCAATCTGTACTATGATTGTTTTGTTCATGTTGCTCTTTTCCCCTTTGTCAGTCTTTAAAGGATTTAGCACCCCTAATATAAAGCTTTACCGTAGGGTGTGCCTGTCCTGTATCCCCTCCCTGCTGGCTGAGCACGGTGCTGCAGGGGCTCCTTGCCTCACTTTCCCCCCACCTGGGTTTTCTTACTTTCCCAGGGATTCACATGTCTCAGACCTCTGACTGGATCCCTCTCCCTTCCGGGATAACAGAAGTCCAAACAACCAAAAGGTTCTTCTGCTCCTCTTGGGCTCTTCTTCAGCTCACCCTCTGGGCTTGGTTCCTATTTCCTTCTAGATTACCTTTAAATCTCTCTGGCACTGGGATAGAGCCCTGACTCTTAGTCTTCTTCCCTAGAGTCCCCTCAGAGTCTCAGTCCCTTTCAGGCTACCTTTCTATCTTCTCTGCGATGGGATAGTCCACTGATTCCCAGGCTACTTTCCAGGGGTCCTCCAGACCTTACTTCAGGGCCTTCCACAGGAGCCCAGCTTGCTCTCTTTGGTTTCTCCTCTCAGCTCTTTTAGGAGGTCAAGGTGTTTCGGGTTGTCACCTGACCCCAGTTAGTCCAGCTTCCTAAGACTGGGAGACATAATTATGGCACAAGTGGAGCTGACTAACTCAGGCCTCCTGACCCTTAAAGGGGCAGGCAGCCCTGTCACAGAGATTTTATCATCTCTTCAGTCTGTCCTTTTAGAGATGATGGGCACAAATCCCAGGGTGCATACTCATGGCAGAATGCTCCAGTGGGACTCTGTCTGCAGCTCTAGAGCCTTTCTTAGAGGGACTCCACAGAGCACAGGTGGCAGTGCAAAAAAATTAATGTAGCCTTTGGTTGCATTAACCTTTGAGGACTTGCCATTAGTGATGGGGTGATATGCATCCTCTTTCCCTGTCTTGGATATTTGAAGCCTTCAGCATCTGGGCCAAAGGGCACGGGGAAGGAGTTGTAGAGAAGGCATCACTACATGGCTGGTTCCCATCACCTTTGGCTCAACAATACTAAATTATTTTTTATACCATTGTTCCATGAATTCGATGCAGCATCGTGACTCCTACTTTCAGTTCTAGTTTTCTGGATCAGACAAATAGTCAGGTGGACTTTATTCTCAATTGGTAAATCATGCCATATTTTGTCCCAAGCTGCTTGTAACAAAAAAGCATCTGAACTTATGTTCCCAATGCTTTCTACATTACATGCACCCCTGCAGCTAACAGGTTGCATTTTAATTTGAAAATGCCTTCCCCTTTCCCATGGTGTGGGAGTATCATGATGTTAGCCTGTGCCTGCTCCCCCCCCCCCCCCCGAGTCTTGATGTTGAATGGAGAATGCATAGTTGTAGCACCATTCACAAGAGAGAAAAAACCAGCACTGTGGGACCAACTAGAATGCTGCTATCATACAAACGGGGGTGGGGTGGGGTCGGGTGGGGGGTGGAAGAGCAGTGTAAGGAGGAGGGGAGAAAAGGAACCAGGCAAGAGATGTGAGAGGAAGGGAATGTAAGACAGAGGAAAGTGATCCGAAAATGTGTGGCTTTTGTGTTTGTGTCCTGGTAGGGTGTATAGGAATTGGATAGTATCCCTTTAATTAGTTGGCACCACACAGTGCAATGTAGCACTTGGAGTCAGATATGTCCTTCTCTATGTGAAATTGGGAAAAACATACAGCAGACTGGAAACCGTATATGCTAAACGGGTGTAAAAACAGTTTGTGGTGTTTCAACTCCAGCTAATCCTGAGAATAAAATGTTTACACAGTGTGTTTTATAATGGTCACTCCTGGTCCTTCTGAATTGCATGAGATAGCTAAAAGATTAAATATTAACTAAATATATAAAATTGCTCTTAATATTGGCTGAGTATGAAGATGTAAGGAGAATCTTTACTGCAAGTTAAGAGTGTATGGGGACTTTCATCCTCTTCTCCACCTGCCTTTTAGGGCTGATGACATTCCAAACTCTCATGTACTATAATCAGACATTACAGTAGAAAAGTGTATGTTTTGATCTCAACTTCAGTATTAGAAATCTTAATGATCGTTTATAACATTGTGATATTGTAACTGAGAGCAGAATTTTGGCTAGTTAATATATCCAGTAGTCTGCCCAAAACAAGAGCAGTTTTGTGCCAATAGTAGTCAAATACTATCAATAAAAGCAGCAGTGAGAAACTGGCTAGGAAAGTCGGAATTATTTTTGTACAAGATATTTGCAGTGCTATTCATTTGCCTTTTTAAATGGGATTTAAGAATTGCGTAGCTGTGGAACTTCATAGTTCTACTGAAGTGATTCACTTCAGTATAGGACAAGAAATTGCTGAAGTCTATTGAAAGATATAAAATTACACATTTCTTGAATATCAAATTCACATGACGTTCAAGTTGCTAAAGGCTTTTGTTTGAATTAAAGACAAATATAGTTTTAAATCCTTGTTGTTCGCCTTGCAGATCTTTCGGCAGCCCAAAGAAAGTTTGCCCACTCTCTGAGGGATTTTAAATTTGAATTCATTGGCGATGCAGAGACGGATGATGAAAGATGTATAGGTATGTGAGAGCTCTGTGTGTGCGCATGTGCGTGTGCATTACTGGTTTTGTTATGCACTCCTATTCCACTATTTCCTTTTTTCTTTTTTCATGTTACAGATGCATCCCTGCGTGAGTTTTCAAATTTCTTAAAAAATCTGGAAGAGCAAAGAGAAATCTTGGTGAGTTGCAACTTTTTACTGTAAACAAATTGTAAGAAGGATTCAGATAAGAGCCAGTTAGTATTGTTTGCCACTGTATTAATCAGCAAAGTATTAGCATCAGTGATTTATTATTGTGCAATCTCTTTTTTGCTAATCTGGATTTACAGATTGCAGCTTCTTCTCACTAAAGGAAAAGACTTTGATAATGAAGCCAATGACAATGAACTGGCCCAGAATTGTAGTAACAGATTACATGCAAAAACATACATTGATGTAACATTAAGTTTGCATATTTTACTAAAAAAACAAAAAATGCAAAATTTGTGAGACCACCTGTAACAACCCCATGATTGGGTGATCAGCAGGGATTGAATCCAGGACCACCATAGCTCCAAAACACAAACCTTAACCATTTTGCTCAAAGCACCTAAGTCTTTTAGCTGGAAGCAGTAGCAGTCTCATGTGGGTTAGATACAGAAACATTAAATTAGCTCTATTGAGTGTATGGAATGCTTTCTACTCCTGTCTTCCTTGCTCTGTGTAACTTAATATATTCTGGATCATAACATCTCCCCCAGTCTGTGACTGATAGCTGTGTTTCGATCTCTGTGGAAGTCAAATATGGCTCAGCATTGACAGGAAACTCTGAGGCTAAGCCATTCCTCTTGCTCCTGCCTGCCAAATGCTCTACATTCAGAACTGAAACAAGTTCAGCAGTTCAGTTCCCTCCTGCCCATGTCTCCAATTTTAATGGCCCTATTTTGTTTCTGGCAGTAGCAAGCGCAGGGGCAGTCATGATTTCTCAGGGTGGAAAAATGTGATGCTCTGCCATGCTGTCTTGACTTGGAGCCACGTCTTCTGGCAGAGTTAGGGTCAATGGGCAGTGAGCAGGCAGTTCTTCCTCTGAATTGCTCAGGGATGCTGCATTATGTATTGAACATGTGTTATGGCAGACGGATTGCCTGGCATGGAGATGCTAAGTTGGAGGGCTCATGATAAAAAGAATGCCACTATACTCTGCTGTTCCTTGTGAACAGACAGGGTGAGAACAAAAGGAAGAAGGCATGGCACTGCCTAAAGAAAAGGGTAAATTAAAAACGACAAAAAAAATAGAGAAGAAAGGGAGTTTTATAACCAAATTTGTTCCATGATGGGAGGCAGAACTTTTGGTGGGTAGAAATGAGGGGCATAGCTTGGTCTTTGCGTTCAGTTGATGAACTTGTTCCATTATAGTTGTGCTGTGCAGCAAGACGTTGCGGTTGGCTTTCAGTACATCATTAAGGAAAATTAACTGTTTAGGTAGCCTCCTTTCTTACCAAGTAAGCTTATTGGCATGGTTTTTGACTATGCAGGTTGTTGACTTGCATCTCTTCCATTTAATACAATAGATTAATGATTAAAATGGAGGCTTTGTACTGCAACATTTTTTTCCCCATCTCGTGTGTGGGGTAGGATGATTGAGAGTTCTAGGATGACCTGTCAAATACCTGTATGCATGGGAGTATGGCACACCAAGACAAGAGATGAACAGCATATGAATCTGGTAAGAACAGGGGACTCCACCACAGTGGAATTAATGCTGATTTTGCCTCACAGGACTTACTTTGAGATTTTAGGCTCACTAATTTTTAACAGTGCTTAAATGCTACAGTAAAAGGGGCCTTATTAAAATGTAAGAGCTATAGATTCCACTTTAAATGCCTGGCTTCCCTGCTCATAGATTTTGTTTTTAAGGTCCAGTACGTATTAGTAATTGTCACCATTAAATAAATGATGATAATTAATGGTAACTGATAAGATTTCACTGTTACTTGTTTTAATGCAAGGAATATGGTGTTTTTAAACGATTAATTTAACTCTAGGTAGTCTGTAGTCTAGCTTCTTTCCAATAGATTTAAGTTACTTTCCACCTAAATTCACATATATGATTACAAAAGTACCTGCAGGGATTAGATAGGATTTATGTAAGAGATTTGCATTGATTCGCTTAGCTCTGATCACATATGTGGAATCTAATACATAGATTTCTTATCTTTGGGGCAGAATTGTTCTTAGTCTCCAGTATGGTATTAATTTCTTGAGGTTATCTGTGTAGAAATTCTGTTTTTCAGGCCCTTATTTGCCAACATCAGCAGTCAGACATACAAATAGTGGTGCTCCTGGGTGGCTTCTTCAGTTAGAATTAACAGACAAATTTGGAGCTGTTGTGGAGTGTTGGAGGTAGGAGCAGGGAGAAATACCTGCTGCACCTGAACGGTGTGAATGGAGGCATTTTGCTGTGTAAAGCTGTGAAGTCTGCTGGGGCACTGGCTGCTCAGTGCGCATCAATTCTTCTTGCATGTTTGATGCAGCTGGTGATTTGTCCTGCTGTTGTGCAGGAGTTTGATTCATCATCACTGTGATTCATGATTCATCATGTGCCACTCAACCCTTCCTCTGTTGCATGTTGAATACCATGTGGAGCATTCTAGAACGTTCAAAGCAATGGACTTACATGGATATTAGATATCCCAAAATGCTATGCTATAAGAGTGGGTGTTTTGCTGTTGTCAAAATGTCTTCTCTCGCCACAGTTGTAAAGAATTGCATCCATCTTGCTGTTTTCTTCCATCTCTGATGTGGCTGTGTATTAGTGGAGTTGTATGTGTAGAGCTAGTAAAAGTCTTTGGGATACTTCAGGAATTACAATTTTTATAATTATCCAAACTGTATCTTGGGACATTCCAATACCAACTTCAACACTGAAAATAGGAGAGTTTTGTGGCGCATTTCACTGACTTCCTCAGCAGCTCTGTAACAGCGATAACATGTAGCCAAATGCAGCTTTGGATCCATAGAATGCACTCTTGGCTGCATAATCTCTGGACACTGCAATTGTGCTATGGACATGGTGTTACTTCCTCTTTTCATATGCAGCCTGTTTGCAGGTAAGGAAGTTATATGACACTATACGTGTGCTGTGTGATGGTTGCCTTATAGAAAACACTAAACGGAATGGAAAAGATCATGTAATGCATGTGTTCAGACAGTGAAAGATCTGATGAGAAAGTTCCTCATGGAGCTATTCTTTAATTCCAAAAGGAGACTGAATACTTTTCCTGAGATGTGGTTTCTTTCATCAGTACTTATATAGTCTAGCACAGGCTCAGGCTAGAGCACAGGCTTAGGGGTGCAGGCTTCAGGTGGCTCCCAGAAGCAGCGGCATGGCCCTTCTCTGGCTCCTATGTGGAGGCACGGCCAGGCGGCTCTGCATGCTGCCCCATCCACAGGCAGAGGGGGCCATTGGAGCATGTAGGAGGCAGAGGGGGGCCATGCCGCAGCTTCTGGGAGCTGCATGGAGCGGCCCCCAACCCTGCGCCCCACCTGGAGTGCTGGAGAGGGGCCATGCTGCGGCTTCTGGGAGCCACGTGGAGTGGCCTCCGACCCTGCACCCCGGCTGAAGTGCCAGAGGGGGGCCATGCCACGGCTTCCGGGAGCTGCATGCTGGCTTAAAACAGTTGGCAGGCCCGATGTGGCCTGCAGGACGTAGTTTGCCCACCCCTGCTCTAGCAAATATTTTAGAACTGTATCGCCTTTAAAGTAAGCAAGTGGAAAGAGAACCAAAGGGATTAGTTTCTGAAAAAATTAATTTGTGTGTTGTTGGGGAGATCTGTTGATCTGACTCCTTTTGTTTGGCTCCTCAATGAACAGTGTAATTGTGCCAAAGTTCCATGGATGTTCTATTGAAATCAATGGAATGTTAGGATGCTCTGCACCCACAACGTTTGGCGCCAGGGCTATAAAGATTTTCAGTTGTGGTGCAATGTTTATGCTACACATTTTAAAGCCTTTCACAAAGGAGTTCCTCCCATTCCAACATCCTCTTATCAGGCTTTTTTTTTCTCTTTGCTATCCTGAAAAGCAAGGTGGAGGCTTGTGACTCCTAGAGTGGCTGTGACTGTGCTGAGAGAATTGCAGATAAGAAATACAGTTACAGATAAGATATAGTGTATGAATTCCTTTTGCTTAATTACTGACAGATGTACGCTTAATAGGTTTTTTAAAATTACATTTTGTGTATTCAGCAAATGCAAAAATGATTTTAATAGCCATATGGTAAATGCAAATATTTCAGACTTTGAATTCCAGACTTGGATAAAAAGCTTTTTCAAGTATATTTTACATAGTTTTCCAAGGCAATTGCAACATGTGTAGATGTGAATCTTGAGTTCATAAAATTTTCCATACTGTCCACCTCAAGCATACTCATTTGGCCTGCTACCATGTTGAACTGGCACGGGTTGGATATGTAATAGCTGCATTCAAGCAGTTTTATTTTTGTTTTCAGTTTAAGGACTTCCATTGGTTGCAAAGGTCATGTTTCTAAATACCGAGGGATTTAGTAGGTTTGTGAAAAGAAAATCCAGGCATTAACCCAAGAATTCAGTTGAATTATAGAGTGGCCTAGATAAAACAAATTGCACTTTTCCATAACACTGTAACTTAGTGGAATTCCCTGAGGCAAATATGAAGCAGGACCCTTTGCCTCTGGAGGCCATTCTGGAAATGTTTCTGTTATATTAAGGATGAGTGGAATACAGGAAGTCATGTCTAACTGGTTCGGCATTACAAAAATATTCTAGTTTAATTAGAGGACTGTAGTCACTCTGAGTCCTTGTCAGCCATTAATGGAAAAGTTTCTTTTTACTTAACTTAAAATTTACTTTAGAATCTTGTTTCCAGTCAACTTACTTTAGGTATGATAGATCCTAACTCTAGCATTGATAGTTATAGTTAGTTACTATTTCCACTGTAGAGCCTATTTCTTAGGGAGTTACAGCTTTGTTAACATTTTTAAAAATTGGCCTGAAATTGAAAATATTTGAAAAATAGCAAGTTGTGGAAATTGTGGAGTATTTTCTGCCCATCTTTTGAATTTAATTTATTTTGTCTCTAAGGGTGAGATCCTTACTCTTGTTGTGGCATCTTTATGCCACATGAAAGTGCTGGAGTGGTATAAAGGGCTCCCAGAAGCCCTG